CGTCACTTATCACACGGAACTTGTTTAGTTTTTCAAAGACAATGGAAATAAGGTTAGCTAAGTATAGGAAGCTATGGACATTTGTTGAAACAAAAGCTAAAAGTCTTTTACAACATAGCACAAACTGCTGAGGATACAATTTACAGCGTAACTTTCAAGTACAGATCTTATCTACATACAACTCTCTGATGACGAGTGTTGGTGAGAGAAGCTGGGGCTTGTTAGTTCAGGGCTGGTCTGTGTGTCAGATCTGAAGGCATGGTCTGTTTGGTAGGCGTTATGCAATGTCTGTATGTCCCGTCTGACCCCTCCGTGTGACATGTATGTATGCCTTGTCTGTATGTCTTCTCTGTATGGCCCGTCTCTATAAACGGTCTGTATGACCCGTCTGTGTGCACCGTCTATGTATACGGTCTGTATGACCCGTCTCCGTGACCCGCCTGTATGACCCGTGTGTATAAACGGTCTGTATGACCCGTCTGTATAAACGGTCTGTGTATACTATAAATGTCTGTATGACCCGTCTGTGTATACGGTCTGTATGACCCGTCTCTGTGACCCGCCTGTATGACCCGTCTGTATAAACGGTCTGTATGACCCGTCTCTATAAACGGTCTGTATGACCCGTCTGTATAAACGGTCTGTATGACCCGTCTCTGTGACCCGCCTGTGTGACCCGTCTGTATAAACGGTCTGTATGGCCCGTCTCTATAAATGGTCTGTATGACCCGTCTGCGTGTCCCGCCTGTATGACCCGTCTGTATAAACGGTCTGTATGACCCGTCTCTATAAAACGGTCTGTGTGACCCGTCTGCGTGTCCCGCCTGTGTGACCCGTCTGTATAAAACGGTCTGTATGACCCGTCTCTATAAACGGTCTGTGTGACCCGTCTGCGTGTCCCGCCTGTATGACCCGTCTGTATAAACGGTCTGTATGACCCGTCTGCGTGTCCCGCCTGTATGACCCGTCTCTATAAACGGTCTGTGTGACCCGTCTGCGTGTCCCGCCTGTGTGACCCGTCTGTATAAACGGTCTGTATGACCCGTCTGTATAAACGGTCTGTGTGACCCGTCTGCGTGTCCCGCCTGTGTGACCCGTCTGTATTATACGGTCTGAATGACCCGTCTGTATTATACGGTCTGAATGACCCGTCTGTATTATACGGTCTGAATGACCCGTCTGCATGTCCCGCCTGTATGACCCGTCTGTATAAACGGTCTGAATGACCCGTCTGCATGTCCCGCCTGTATGACCCGTCTGTATAAACGGTCTGTATGACCCGTCTGTATAAACGGTCTGTATGACCCGTCTGTATAAACGGTCTGTATGACCCGTCTGTGTGACCCGCCTGTATGACCCGTCTGTATAAACGGTCTGTATGACCCGTCTGTATAAACGGTCTGTGTGACCCGTCTGCGTGTCCCGCCTGTGTGACCCGTCTGTATAAACGGTCTGTATGACCCGTCTCTATAAACGGTCTGTGTGACCCGTCTGCGTGTCCCGCCTGTGTGACCCGTCTGTATAAACGGTCTGTATGACCCGTCTGCGTGTCCCGCCTGTATGACCCGTCTGTATAAACGGTCTGTATGACCCGTCTGCGTGTCCCGCCTGTGTGACCCGTCTGTATAAACGGTCTGTATGACCCGTCTGTATAAACGGTCTGTGTGACCCGTCTGTATGTCCCGCCTGTGTGACCTGTCTGTATTATACGGTCTGAATGACCCGTCTGTATTATACGGTCTGAATGACCCGTCTGTATTATACGGTCTGAATGACCCGTCTGCATGTCCCGCCTGTATGACCCGTCTGTATAAACGGTCTGAATGACCCGTCTGCATGTCCCGCCTGTATGACCCGTCTCTATAAACGGTCTGTGTGACCCGTCTGCGTGTCCCGCCTGTGTGACCCGTCTGTATTATACGGTCTGTATGACCCGTCTGTATAAACGGTCTGAATGACCCGTCTGCATGTCCCGCCTGTATGACCCGTCTGTATAAACGGTCTGAATGACCCGTCTGCATGTCCCGCTTGTATGACCCGTCTCTATAAACGGTCTGTGTGACCCGTCTGCGTGTCCCGCCTGTGTGACCCGTCTGTATTATACGGTCTGTATGACCCGTCTGTATTATACGGTCTGTATGACCCGTCTGTATTATACGGCTGTATGACCCGTCTGTATAAACGGTCTGTATGGCCCGTCTGTGTACACCGTCTGTATGACCCGTCTATATTAACTGCCTGCATGTCCAGCCTGTATGACTCGTCTCTATAAACTTACAATGTCAACGTTTTGAATTTTTTTACGTTAAACCATTTTATGTTAACGTCTATGCATGAATCAGAGGCACACTGTAGCGCAAATAGGTTTGCGCAACACAGAGAAAATGACCAGCGCTTCGCTCGCATTATAGGAAGACTGGTCATTATCTCTGTGTTGCGCAACCCTATTTGCGCTACTGCGTGCCTGTGTATTAATATGCCATTTAGGTCAAATGTAACATATGTTATATGTGTGATTACATTTTCTTAGATAAGTACAGATTCTAGTACTTCTGTTGGGTTGAGTCCCATCCGCGGTTCGAAACCACACCCCCAGGGTAAGGCACCTAATCGCCAGCACACAAAGTCAGACGCCACGACCGCTCAGCCACAGCGATTTCCACAAAAATGGAAGTCGGACAACTGGTATCACTAATTGTATTCCGTTAAAACCGTAGTTCGTTATTAGCATTTGGACGGAAATATTGAGAATGTGGCAGGGAAAAACCCAGTTCGTTATATCCGACAGTTCGTGTTAAACGTATCGCATTGTTTGCAGCTGATTTGAGAATGTTTTAACACACATAATGGAGCCATGCATCAAGGGGTCGGACATGGTATCTGGAATAATGATATCTAGATTTACAGGCACAATTAATGGAATTATCATAAAAAGTCTGTATGCTTTTAGGCACAGCTTCGGGGGAAAGGTATTCACAGATTCTCAGTTCTCCTTCAACTGGTCTATCAATTGTTATTTTGAATCAATCTATGATCATTTTTCGAAAACAACAACAAATGACAAGAATAAAAAGAAGGAAAAACTGCCCAAAATATTCCCGATAGTACAGACAAAAAGTACAGAAATGATAAAAGAATAATTAGAAAAATCCCTAATGGTAACAAGAGAAAGGAAGCATTTTGGCAGGCAATTGTTTAATGGCATCTGTTCTTTTCTATCTACGAGGATAATTAACCCTGTATTCACAAAAACAGATCCAAAGGGTTCGTCTAGCAGGATGTTATGATTCTTTTGGTAACATCATTTTGCGATTCCGAATAACAAAGCCGTTTAAAGCCGCGGGGGCGGTGGGGTAGCCTAGTGGTTAAAGCGTTGACTCGTCACGCCGAAGACCCGGGTTCGATTCCCCACATGGGCACAATGTGTGAAGCCCATTTCTGGTGTCCCCCGCCGTGATATTGCTTGAATATTGCTAAAAGCGGCGTAAAATTAAACTCAGTCAGTCAGTTTAAAGCCACATTATACCAACTCACTCACTCATTCGAATTTATTTCCCCCTTGTAAGTACACCACTGTAAGTACATTGGCTACATAACGAAGACAGTTAACGTTGCGGGCAGGTATAGTTGAAATGATTTATTTTGTGAAGGTGAATTATTATACAATTACGTCATTACATAACAACATTACAACTATATGGGGGGGTCGGTGGGCTAGCCTAGTGGTTAAAGCGTTAGCTCGTCACGCCTGAGACCTGGGTTCTACTTCCCACATGCGTACAATCTGTGAAGCGTATTTCTGGTGTTCCGTGCGGTGATATTGCTGGAATATTGCTAAAAGCGGCGTAAAACCATACTCACTCTCTCATTCAATTACTACAACTATAGGGTAATGTTTACAATGAGAAATACAGCGCTGAGCGTCACTTATCACACGGAACTTGTTTAGTTTTTCAAAGACAATGGAAATAAGGTTAGCTAAGTATAGGAAGCTATGGACATTTGTTGAAACAAAAGCTAAAAGTCTTTTACAATTAGCACAAACTGCTGGGATACAATTTACAGCGTAACTTTCAACTACAGATCTTATCTACATACAACTCTCTGATGACGAGTGTTGGTGAGAGAAGCTGCTGGGGCTTGTGTAGTCCCGGGCTGGTCTGTCTGTATGTGTCAGATCTGAAGGCATGGTCTGTTTGGTAGGCGTTATGCAATGTCTGTATGTCCCGTCTGACCCCTCCGTGTGGCATGTATGTATGCCTCTGTGTCTGTATGCCTTGTCTGTATGACCCGTCTGTATAAACGGTCTATATGACCCGTCTGTATAAATGGTCTATATGACCCGTCTGCATCAACGGTCTGTATGACCCGTCTGTGTGACCCGCCTGTATGACCCGTCTCTATAAACGGTCTGTATGACCCGTCTGTGTGACCCGCCTGTATGACCCGTCTCTATAAACAATCTGTGTGACCCGTCTGTATAAACGGTCTGTATGACCCGTCTCTGTGACCCGCCTGTGTGACCCGTCTCTATAAACGGTCTGTATGACCCATCTGTATAAACGGTCTGTATGACCCGTCTCTGTGACCCGTCTAAAAAACGGTCTGTATGACCCGTCTGTGTGCACCGTCTGTATGACCCGTCTGTATAAACGGTCTGTATGATCTGTCTATATATGCGGTCTGTATGACCCGTCTGTGTGCACCGTCTGTATGACCCATCTGTATAAACGGTCTGTATGACCCGTCTGCGTGTCCCGTCTGTATGACCCATCTGTATAAACGGTCTGTATGACCCGTCTGTATGACCCGTCTGTGTGCACCGTCTGTATGACCCATCTGTATAAACGGTCTGTATGACCCGTCTGCGTGTCCCGTCTGTATGACCCATCTGTATAAACGGTCTGTATGACCCGTCTGTGTGCACCGTCTGTATGACCCATCTGTATAAACGGTCTGTATGACCCGTCTGCGTGTCCCGTCTGTATGACCCATCTGTATAAACGGTCTGTATGACCCGTCTGTGTGACCCGTCAGTGATGGACTTCTTTAAGATCCGTCAGAAAGGTCCGACATGACGTAACCTTTGAAGGTGGCCTCAGATCATCAAACACAAATTTGATCTAATTTTAATAAGGAGCTCCCACTTCCAACCACACGCTCATCTGTGCCAGGTACCTAACTTCTGGGCTAGGCACAGTTGCGATTCAGAAAGACCCATCCATGATCGCCCATGTCTCGATTCATTGATTCTTCTTCAACCCATGGCGTGTCGCACACCAAACAGAATCCTGTTGAAAGATTGATTTCTGCGTTTGCGCAGACGAACGCAGTTTCATTTACACATCTCTCCCCGCAAGAGGTGACTGTCTGGTTTTGGTGGATCCTCTTGTTGCAACCGGAAATTCCAAGGTTGTTGAACAGAGTGAATGTGTCGTTGAAGCCGTCACTAGAGCATGCTGTAACAGAGAATATTTGTCTGAGGCAATGATAAAATAGGGCCCATAAGTCTCGCTACTTCCTGTACCAGATTGCCGGCGACAAGTGTATATTCACGAACCAGATCGACCGCCAGATGACTTTACTTGATTGGTTAAAGTGTACTAACTACCACGCTTGGCTGTCACAGCAGTTGATGCCTAATTTGGGAATGATGAGATCTCAAATAATGATAGTGGGTTGTGTTTTACGGCGAGTTTGGCAATATTCCAGTAAAATCAAGGCGGGAGACACCAAAAATGGGCTTCACACATTTTAACCATGTGGGGAATCGAACCCGAACTTCGGCGTGACGAACAAACGCTTTTTCAACTAGGCTACCCAAATACTGATAACATTACACATGGTACCAAAATAACAAGATAATGTGTGTAATTATATTCAGCTAACCTCACACACAAGCTGTAGGCTTAAAACGCTAATATTACATACCCTTGTCAATGGATCAGTGTGGACTGCAACCCAAGCTGCCCATGAGACAGTCATCTAATCCCACCGGGTACCCATTCACTGCTGGGTGAACAGAGGTAATTTTAAATTCAGTAACTTGCCTAAGATGGGACCATGTGCGTCGTTGTGGGGCAGGACAGAAGACGTAGAAACTCTCAGGAGTCAAACTGTCAAACATGTACACGTGAAGATCGCAGATCCACCCAAACTAGGACTGAGGCGGTAGGGTAGCCTAGTGGTTAAAGCGTTCGCTCGTCACGCCGAAGACCCGGGTTCGATTCCCCACTTGGGTTGTACAGGATACAGGATACGGTTGTATGGTATACGACAAGGTTGTATGGTATGTCAGAAGGTTTTAAGATAGAAGATAAGGTTGTGTGCTGTAGGATGGTTGTATATGACTATTATGTAAGGTATAATTATATTGGATAAG